GAGTCGACGCATGCCCCCTTTGAGTCAACGAATATGTATTTTTTCTGCCCTGGGTATGCTCAAGTCGACCCAATGAGTCAATGCATAATGAGTCTTGAACCTGCATGATTCGATGCATGACCTCTTTGAGTCAACACATGTTGCTTTGTGCTGAATGTTTCTGTGATTTTTCTGCGATTTCACTACCTTATAGGTCCGAAAACATTATCTAATAATAGGGATTCATCATCTATCAACAACTTAATATACTACATCAATTAGACATCATTTGAGCATCATTATTCATCTATAATCTATCATTTCTCCATCAAACAACATCAAATCATCATCTATGAAACCTAAGGCAAACCCTATCCATATCTACCAGTTAAATCAAATATAATAATCAGATAAACACCCCTTACCTTATTATTTCGAGTGAATGATTATGTTCTTCGTGCCTCTTATGATGATTCTCTCTAAATCTTTCGTGCCCTAGCCTCTCTTCTCCAACTTTCACGATTGATTGTGAGAATAACAACTATCTCTTCTCTGTTATCACAAAGGACCCCTAATATCTTTCTCAATTGCCCTCACTTAGTCAACCTCTATTTACCATCATGTCTTCACTCTTCCTACTAATTACCAATACACCACTCTAATTAAAATAACCATTTAAATAATTATTCTATTATTATATTCTCAATAATAATCCAAATAATTACTAAATAATTATTTAACCATTCTAATATTTCTAATCATCATAATTCACATCATGCACAACCTCATACCAACACATCACACATATAATCATATAAAACATCAATTATTCATAAATACTCCTAATAATTCATTAAATAAATAACTTTTAAAAATTGGGGTGTTACAAAACTTCTTCAAAGGTCAACGAATCTCTTCCATACAAGAGAGTTACTTTGAAGTGAGCATGAGACTTAGGTAAAAAACACAACAATAACAAAGATTGATCTTCATCATCAATACTAACCTTGATATTCTCCAGATCAAAAATTAGCTTGTTGAATATATCCAACTACTTCGTCAAGGCTCTATCTTCACTCATCTTGAATGGAAACAGAGCTTGCTTCAGGTAGAGGCGAGTGACCAACGATTTGATCATGTACATATTTTTGAGTTTTGTCCACAAACCTTCCGCCGTCTTCTTCTTCGATACCTTCCAGGGAACCTTATCACTAAGGCTCAATATGATGGTGATGCTGGATTTCTATACCATAGTCGTTTTCTCTTTTCTGTTAGAGCAATATCCATGGTTGCGACTCCATTCAACGCTTCTAGAAAACCCTACTGAACCAGTAGGAATTGCATCTTCAAGCGCCACAAATTGGAATCGTTCATGCCGATGAATTTCTCAATCTCACACTTCATTGACAGCATCTTCTTCTCCATGCTCACCTCACCCGTTTGTTGTAACGGAGTGTGTAACACCCCAAATTCTACCCGGTAGTTATAACGAAAATCAGAGTATTTAAAAGCTTCCAACATATTTGGGATATCACATTTCAACATGTTACAACACATAAACAGATACATAACACTTTAATTTCGAAGGATCATATAACAACTTGCATCAGCTTTTAAAACAAAACTACTTCTTTTATTAATAACACAATAGAATCATCATTACAACTTTAAGTAGCATCATATGTTTCGTTCAACTAAAACAACTTGAGAGGCAACATATTATTTCATATAATTCAACTTAGGATTCAACAACTAAAAAAATTTCAACAAGTAAACAACTATTCGATCATTTCCCCCCGAGTGCTACGTATCAGAGCGACCAACCGACTTTGAACTAATAAGGCTAAGCAAATCTTCATTCTTGATTACCTGCACGTTACCAACAGAGGGCAACATTCCAACAGTAAGGGGTGAGATTCTTAAATCATATAAGTGAGCGCATGATAAATCATATATTAGAGTCAGGTCATGCAAAAATCACCACTTCACAACAACAATTGCAGCAGGATATCATCAAAATGCAACAATTAATGCATCAACACAACAACTGAATTATACAACTTAGAATGCGACTCAATGTTATGCAAATGCATGTGGTACCATTGGAGCAGAACTCCCAACTTAGAAAATGCCAGTTTACCGAGGCATAAGGCAAAGCCTTCAACTTAGAACATGCCAATCCAGGCCAACATAGGTGAGCATTCGCTCCAACTTATAACATGCCAATCCAGGCCAACATAGGTGAGCATTCGCTCTAACTTAGAACATGCCAATCCAAGTCAACTTTAATTCTATGCTATGCTATGCAACGATATAAACAACCACAACTCAGCAACGCAACAACGACAATAACATAACAACGGTCGACATAACAATAATTTGCACCGTTTAACATTGGCCAAAGGCCTACAAGACAACATATTAATGAAATCAACAACTTTTCATGACAAAAACATCATCAAGAAAACAACATTATCCATAAACCTATATCACTGTTATTACCAATTAATAGAGGTAATTCAATATCACAAATCTTCCTGCACTTCGCATCATCACAAAATTATCACAACATCATAACCACAACTATTCAACTTTGGCAACAAGCCTATATCACTGTTATTACCAATTAATAGAGGTAAATCTTCGTCATAACAATTCCTGCATCTTCACAAAATATTCGTAACATCATAGCATCAACGCACATCACAAAGGAAAGCACAAACATGATAGTTGTTTCTAAAACACTCCCATAACTCTCTATGTATTAGTCCTTCATTATTTAATTATTCTCCTAATATTCACTTCTAATTAACTAACTGGCAATATATGTTTTCTTCTGCTATTTAATTAATCCTCTAAAACAGTTACTGCAACTTTACTAATTATTTCCAACTCTGTCTTATTTCTACAGGCTGTTAAAATTATATTAACACTACTAAATTAAGATTACTGACATAAGGCTACTTCTGTTACTGTTCTTCTGCTATAACATACTACTGATAAGAATAGTTCAGTTTGTTCCCTAAATGTTTTTGTATTAATAAATTCTATACTGATATCATATAAAAATTATATAACAAAACACGTTCCTTCCTGCCTAACAATCAATGCCGAATGGCACTCCCTTTCAACAATAACACCTAGTGCCGGACGACACTCTCCTTTCTTCCTCAATGCTGCCGACCGACAGCCCCCCACCTACTAACGATCGACATCAAACCCCCATTCTATGATTCTCTGTTACTTCTCCAGTTTCCTTCGTATCCACATATTTTCAGCGGAACAATCAATCAACAACACACAAGAATACGAAAGTTTCACCAATATTCATCATTAATTAATTTTCTAACATCAATTGCCATGAATAAACACAAACAATAATAAATTTATACCTTAAATTCCACATACAATTTCTCATAAACCCCATTATAGGATAAGAAACTCCACCCTTACCTTGGATTGAAGATCGCTCTATAATTCTGATTGCAACCCGCTGCTGCCATAACTCCAAGCCTACATTCTTCTTCTCTTTTCTCTAAAACCTTATTTTCTTTACAGCCACTTCTTATTCTCTTTTCTACTTGACAAAAACCTAATTCATTCTTATTCAACTTTAACATATAATTTTTATTATTAATTTTATTGGGCCTAATATTCACACCGACCATTTTACTACCAACAACACTTTAAATTAAGCCCATAAGAAATAATAATAGTATTATTATAATACTATTTTCCACCACTTAATCAACTCAATAAATCCAATATAATAATATTATTTCTAATATTATTTCTCCGATTAAACCGACTATTTCACTTAACATCTCAAATCAACATATTAATCCGATCACGCCTCTTAAAATAATACCGACAGATCCTAACTTCGACCATTTCCAATAATTAAATCTTTAATTAATTTAATTAAATAATTAATTAAATTCAGGACGTTACAGAGTGTTGTCAAAAAAATAAACCAAAACTATGAGAAAAATTGAGTTTCTTGAACAAACAGAAGAAACCCTATTAGGTTTCACGAAAGAGATAGAAAGGAGAAGAAGAAGAATATCAGGATTGGTCGTGACTGTTTTACTATTCTCTTTTTCAATAAGCGTTTACAGATTACAAGTGAATAACAACAATTAACCTCTCTCAACAACCTGAGAGAACTAATCTATCTATAGACTACTTAGCTAACTTATGCTACAAGCTAACATAAACAATTGGGCTAAACAAACAGGCCAAATTCGACACGTTAACAAACCTAATATTTTGACTAGTGCATGCTTGAGTGTACTTCGACTACAACATGCAAGACGTCGGCATCAGCGTGTAAACAGACTTCACCAATATACTTAATCTTTGTCGAACCAAAAAACTATCCTCATCAATACTAGAGTTCGATCAAAAATCTCAAAAATAAAAAAATACATGAAAAGTTAATAATATTAAATTTTAACTTTTAATTAAATACATTAACTTCTCACCTATAATTTTTATTTATATTTTATATTTTTTTCGTCAAGAATATATATTTCATATTAGTCTGAAAGAAGTATGTCGCTTACATACTTTGACCTTAGACCAAAAATATTCACACAAAATCTATCTCTCTCTATCATAATAATAAGGAAAAAATTTAGGTATTTTTTTAGATGTAGTTTATATTTTTTTAATGAATATTTTAAATATATAATTTTCTTTTACACATATATAATTTTTTTTTTATTTTTACTTTTATATTTAAATATATTTATTATATTTTTTTTAGAAAAAAATATGAACCATACTTTTATTATATAAATATTCTCCTAATAATAATAATTGAAAGAAAAATAATTGAAAGAAAAATAATACATAATATTATTATTAATTATGAAGCCGCGTTCTTCTACCAAATTTTCAAATATCTACACTATTCAAACTTTTCCATTTCATAGACCATAGACAAACACACACTTATACTACATCTTCCACATTTTTTATCCACCAAATTCAACAAACAAATCATTCAACACTTTCACATGGAAGATATTGAAGTTCCACAGTTTTTTCTTTGCCCAATCTCTCTCCAAATAATGAAAGATCCAGTTACTGCTATAACAGGCATAACCTACGATCGAGACAGCATCGAACATTGGTTACTCCGAAACAAAAACACAACATGTCCTGTCACAAAACAACCTCTTCCACTAGATTCTGATTTAACACCGAACCACACGCTTCGTCGGTTGATTCAATCATGGTGCACACAGAATGCTTCACTCGGTATCGATAGAATCCCAACGCCGAAACCACCTCTCACGACAACTCATGTCGAAAAGCTTCTCAAAGGAATTAAAGACTCGAAGATTCAGCTCAAGAGTTTAATGCAGTTGGAGTTACTTGCCGCGGAGAACGAAAGGAATAAGAAGTGTTTGTTGGAAAACGGTGTCCCGAAAGCGATGATCATGTTCATATATGATTGTTATAGAAAAGGTGAAATCCTCGAAGGAATCGAAGAAGCTCTTAGTTTCTTACAATTTGTTAAGGTTCCTAATGACGACGCAAAGAATCTTTTATCAGAAAACAATGAAATGTTAGATTGTTTAACGTGGATATTAGATTTACCTTCTGAGATAAAGAACTCAGTTGCTGTGAAATCTCATGCGGTTTTGGTGCTTAAAAAATTCATCAACAACTGCGATTCTGTTGTTTTAGAGAGACTAAAACCCGAGTTTTTCAAAAGCGTTGTAAACTCTTTAAAAAACGGTGTAATAACTCAACAAGGTTTATGTGCTGCTTTACATGTTTTGTTATGTTGTTGTCCTTTGGGAAGAAACAGGTTAATGATGGTTGAAGCTGGTGCTGTTAATGAACTGATAGAGATTGAATTAATGTCGATACCGGAGAAGAGAATCACGGAGCTAACTTTTGGTATTTTGTTTCATTTGTGTTCTTGTGCTAATGGGAGGTTTCAGCTTTTGAGTCATGAAGGATCAATTGCAGTGTTGACTGAGAGAATCTTTAAGGTTTCAATAGCGGTTGATGATAGAGCGGTGTTTATACTTTCTTTGATAAGTAAATTTTCGGCTACTAAGACGGTTTTGGAAGAGATGTTAAAAGTTGGAACTATTTCTAAGCTTTTTGTTTTGCTTCAAGCTGATCATGCAAAGTATTTGAAAGATAAGGTTATGGAAATATTTAAGGCTCATTCTGAGGTTTGGAAGAATTCTCCTTGCTTTCCTCAAAATTCTTTTTATGCTAGTTTGCATAGGTGAAAATTAATGGAAATTATGCAATAATATAGTTGATTTAAATGTTAAGATCTTGAAAAAGTACTATTTTTTGTATTATGTTTGTGGTACATGCACTCAAGTGTGAGGTATAGTAAGTATATTTTAAGATAACAATATTAATATACAATCTTATAAATAAATTATAATATCATTCTTTATTTTTGTTTAAATTTGTTTGATGTTTACAAGTTGCAACATGGTAAATGAATTCCAAATAAATGTGGAGTTTGATATTGGTTATAATCCATCTTTTGTTTGTTGAAAAGGAAGAACTGTGTGCAAACAATTTCTCAAGGAAAGGGAAATTGTATGTGGGCCTAAGTATTAAATGAAATTGAAGGAGATGATTGTAGAAAAAAAGACCTGGATAAAGTTGGACTTTGAATATGGCTTTTGACTCATTCAATAGAAGTTATTTGGACTATATGATGAGTTTGTAGAATAAAATTTTGAGTGAAATGCAGATTGAATACCGTCTTAATCTTTATAAATTATCCCATGTCATATTACAAGCAAAATATTTTCATTTATTGAATATTTGATGTATATCGTCTATATAAATATCATACACATATGTAATTCAATTAATTTGAAAATATAATATCATATTTATAATAATATTATACTTATAATAGTGACTAGAATAGAAAGAGTATTGTCGTTTTTAGTTTTGTTAGAAATTACGATCACTCGTTCGTAAATAATGGAGGATTTGAGTTTGGCGAATTAGAGAGATAGGGGAGAATTAAAGAGAGAAACAATTAAGAGTGATAATTTTTTATATTTTATTAATTATATATTACAAGAATACCACTAGAGTACATATATATATATATATATATATATATATATATATATATATATATATATATATATATATATATATATATATATATATATATATATATATATATATATATATATATATATATATTAATTAGGATACAATCAAGCCAAAATCCTAAAAAAGCAAAATGCTAGACTTTTAATCAGTTATACAAAATTTGAAACCGATTACACCTACTAAAAATCAGAAATTAACTAACAGTTGTAACCGGTTACACCTCTGTGTTAATCGATTACAACACTTGAAATACTAAAAATCTCTTAACACACCACTTTATTTCAAGTGCTCTAAGTCTTCCATGCTCATGCTCATCTTCAACATTTTGAACACATCATTGGTGACTTCCTTAGTCAATAAATCATCCATTTGGTCTTCACTTCTATAATATCCCAATCTTAACTTTCCTTCATTAACAAGTTCCCTCAAGTAGTGAAATCTCATCTCATTTTGCTTGCTTCTCCCATGTGCAATTAGGTTCTTAACAAGATTAATCGCATAAAAGTTATCCACCAAGAGCGTAACAGCCTCATCCTCATTGTTGTCAAACTCCTTCAATAGATTCATTTGTCATACGACTTGGCACACACATAGCGAAGCAGCAATATACTCGGTCTCACAAGTGAGAGTGCCACTATTGGTTCATTCTTCGAACACCATGAGATTGATGTTCTAACAAACATAAAGATGTATCCTGATGTAGACTTTCAATCATCTTTATCTCCGCAACAATTGGAATCGGTAAAACTGAGAAAATTGCATTTTCTGCCTGAATCTGGTGCGGGAAAGATGATTTCGCAGGTAATAGATCCTTTGACATATCTTAGGATCCTCTTGTTTGTTGCCAAGTGAGACACCTTTGGTCTCTCTATTAATCTACTCGCAATATCAATACTAAACACCAAATCTGATCATATATTGCAAGTTATGCAAGGATCTAATCAACCTTCTATATTGAGTTGGATCACATTCTGCTCCTCTTCATTTTTTGATAATTGTTGTATTGGTTCACCTGGTGCAATGGCAACATTACAATGCTAAATTTCACACTTCTTCATCTCAAGAGTATATCTCCTTTAATGTATAAGTAGTCCTCTTTTGGACTTGTGGAACTCTATGCCAAGGAATATGTCATGATACCAAAGTCTCTCATCTTGAATTATTTCATAAGTTCACTCTTGAAATAAGAAATGCTCTTCTCATCATTGCCTGTAATCCACAAATTATCTACGTATAGACAAAGAATGATCACTTCTTCACTTATATCGTATTTCACATATACGCCGTGTTCGGATACATATTACTTGAAGTCAGTCTCAATTAGGAAATTGTCTATCCTCTTGTTTCAAACTCTTGGAGCTTGTTTCAAACCATATAGCGCTTTTCTCAACTTGTAGAACCTTCCTTCTTGGTTTTTCACAACAAAACCAGAGGACCAATTCAAGCAGTCCACTCAAAAATGCCTATTTGATATACATTTGATATATGGACCAATTATTTTTATTCACAATACCAATAACTAGCCTCATGGTTTCAATTTTAGCAACTGGTGCAAATACCTCTTCAAAGTTTATGCCTTCTCTTTGCAAAAATCCCTTTGCAACTAACGAGCCTTATGCTTGATTATTTCACCTTTGGGATTTGTCTTCACCTTATAGATGCATCTTACACCAATCGACTTCTTTCCATTCGGTAGATCAACTAACTCCCAAGTATTGTTTTTCTCAATCCATTTCAACTCCTCCTTCATAGCATAAACCACTTTATTAAACTTAAGGCATCTTCCGTATTAGCATGTTCTGATTCAACCATAAGTGCAAAATGGAAGAAATCACCATCATCATTGAATTTGTTGTCACAAAACATCTCACAATCTTGGAGTCTTTGAGGAAATAATCTTTGCCTTGTTGATCTTCTTACATTTTCATTAGTGTGGGCTCCGACTTGCGGCGTCTTTGCACTTCCCATTTCTGCAGAATCTGAAATTTTGAAGGTTTAATCGGTTACACATTTCTACAAACTACTGGTAACCCGTTATATGCTATTCATAATTGGTTACAAGTTGCTGCAAATGCTTTAAATTATTGACCATAACGTCTCAGTTGATCACAATCCTTTTGTTTGCAGCATCAAATAGCTTGTAACCTTCAATAGAGTGATATCCTACAAGTATCACCATCTCTCATATATCATCCAACTTCTTTCTAAGTTGTTCCAGAACATGTCGATACACTACCAAACCGAAAACTCTCAAGTGGTTCAGATTCGGTTTGAATCTCGACCATGCTTTCTCCGGTGTTAACTTCTTAAGCCTCTTTGTTGGACACATATTCAACAAATAGGCAGTTTTGGATACCATTTCTCCCCATAATTTTTTCAATAAGTTCTTCCCTTTTAACATGTTCCTCACTATGTTCATAATCATTCGATTTTTCCTTTCGGTAACATTATTTTATTATGGTGTATAAGGTGATACTGCCTCATGCGCTATCCCCCCTTCATTATAAAATTTCTCAACATCATTTGAGACATATTCTCCTCCACCATCTATTTTGAGAACTTTGAGCTTGTGACCGCTTTGTCGCTCAACCATGGACTTGAACTTCTTAAACAATTTGAATTCCTCATTCTTTCTTTTGATTAGGTATGTCCATAGTTTTGTACTATAATCATCAAAAAATGTGACAAAATATTTATTGAGATCAATCGAATCAACTTGCATTTTCCCACATATATCAGAACACACCTCCTTAAGGTGATACTTGGTTCTACAACCTACATCTTTTTTGAATTTATCCTTGTGTTTCTTCACTTGTATACACTCTTCACAAGTTTCATCTAGTATGTTGATGAATGTCAATTCAATTACCATTCCTCTCTTTTGCAATGCATTGAGATCTCAGAAATTGAGATTGAATGTTAAGGAAATAAAAAAGGGGGTTTCACTTGGGTTTCTAAAATGAAACTTTTTCTTTTTCCAAAACAAAGAATAAATAATTTAGAATAAAAATAACGAACACAATATTTTTATCCTGGTTCGCTGCTAAAGAAGCTACCTCTAGACCTACTGTCAATGTTTTCTTAAGACTTTTGACTATACCCTAATCTCTCAAGGAATAATAACTCAAAAGTTGAGATACAAAAGGTGTATTCAGAAAGATGCTTCTAAGAAAGAAGATTACACAAATGAAATACAATGATTAACACAAAAGTCATTTTGAGCAAGGTTATAAACAAAGGTGTCTTGTTGAAAATCTGGAACACACACAATATCAGAAGTTAAGACTAATGTCTTAACAACACACAATGTCACAACAAATATTATGAAATTTGTTGACACAACAACAAACACAATAACAACACAGCAAAATTATAACTTGCAGAAAAAGAAAGAATACACAGGAATTGTTAACCCAGTTTGGTGCAAACTCACCTACTCTGGGGGATACCAAGCCAAGAAGGAAATCCAATATCAATAGTATTAATTTGAAGCTAAACTCCCCTGTTTACAACTTCTCGCTTAATCCCTACCCAATACAACTTCTACCTAGGCACCTCATAGATATGGAAAATTGACATCCCACTTCCAATCACTGTAGTGATAAAAACTCCCAATCATAGGGAAAAACAATTCCAATACCAGGAACTGTTAGGAAGAACACACTCCCCAATTACAACTCACTTAGTTTTCTTAAAACCTTCACTAAGAACAATACTTAACTCGTTCCCACGGGCTTTGAGTGAGAACAATAACTTGACAAATTGTCAAGCACAATTAATCAACTCAAATATATCAGAGATACATAGGGACGCACAATAAAAAACACACGGAGAACCTAAGGGCTATCAAACCCTAAACCCTTATTTTTCACAAGGTTTTACAATAAAAATTATGCTTAAAAAACTAGGTCTTGGATGACTTCTTAAATAGACTTTTGCAGTGGGCTTGGGCTCTTCAATAAATAGGTCCCAAAACCCGCAGAATCTTCTCCACAAAAATAGAAACAATCTTCATAAAACCTCCTTAAAAAGTCTCAATCAATCCTTTTTAGTAACCAATCCAATATGCACTTGTTTCTAACAAAATCCTTGATTGACCTGCACCTATAATGAGTATAAAATATTCCAGATATTCATA